GGGGGAGGATGGGGGAAGGAGGAGGAGGAGGAGGAGGAGGAGGAGGAGGAGGAGGAGGAGGCGGAGGAGGAGGAGGAGGAGGAGGAGGAGGAGGAGGAGGAGGAGGAGGAGGAGGAGGAGGAGGAGGAGGAGGAGGAGGAGGAGGAGGAGGAGGAGGAGGAGGAGGAGGAGGAGGAGGAGGAGGAGGAGGAGGAGGAGGAGGAGGAGGAGGAGGAGGAGGAGGAGGAGGAGGAGGAGGAGGAGGAGGAGGAGGAGAGAGGAGGAGGAGGAGGAGGAGGAGGAGAGGAGGAGGAGGAGGAGGAGGAGGAGGAGGAGGAGGAGGAGGAGGAGGAGGAGGAGGAGGAGGAGGAGGGAGGAGGAGGAGGAGGAGGAGGAGGAGGAGGAGGAGGAGGAGGAGGAGGAGGAGGAGGAGGAGGAGGAGCAGGAGAGGAGAGGGGGGGGGGCGAGGGAGGAGGAGAAACAGGCGTAGGAGGGGGAGGAGAAGGAGGAGGAGGAGGAGGAGAAGGAGGAGGAGGAGGAGGAGGAAGAAAGCGAGCAGAAAGGCCAGAGGCTTCTTAGATGCCTCTCGGAGTCTCGATGGATTTCTTTCGAGAGTTTGGGAGTTCTAATGGGGCGTCTTGGGGGTCTCTTGGCAGTTGCGGTTGCCTCTTGGGGCATCTTGGGTGCCTCTGGGGTACCTCTTGGGGCGTCTTGGGGGTATCTTGGCAGCTTCTTGGGGCCATTTTGGGGGTCTCTTGGGGCCTCCTGGGCACTTCTTGAGGCCGTCTTGGGGCATCCTTGGGAGCATCGGGGGCCAGCTTGGGGCCATCTCGGAGATGACGACCAAAGGAGGGTGGCTCTTTAATCAGGGACCCCCCTCCCCGGAGGCCAACGTGCGGCCAAAACCGTCGTAAACTCGATGGTTTTGGCCATTTTCACCAACTCTATCAAAGAAGGGCAGCTCCTCAATTAGGCCCCCCCCCAGAGGCCAAAACGTTGCCAAAACGTTGGTAACATCAATGAGTTTGGCTTCCTCGCCGAGGCCATTTTGGACGTTCCAGCCCCTCGTGAACCCCCCATTTCCAGGTCCAGGGGAACGGGGTATGGGGGAGGGGTCGACCCCTCCCCGAGGTGGAAGAAGGTGGGTTGGAAGAGGAAGCGCCCTAAACCGCTCACGCCCTTCAGGGCTGGTGAGGTTTGACAGACTTAATGGACGCTTGATGGCGGTTGAGCGTTCTCGACACGTGCTCGCGAGTGGCCCGCCTGGCCTCATCCGACATAGTGGCGAAAAGCCGATGGTTTTATTATGATTCTAGCGAGCGCGCGCAGAATTGTGGCATTGCTTGTTGAAGAACCCATTGGTGGTCGACAGTTGTCGAATAGCACTGCGTGGAAATTGGAACACTGGACTTTGAAGGATTTTGACGTGCGCGCGTGGCGGCGCGAGCGTGTGCCCCGCACTGTATGCTGGTTTGCACAAGCACGTTTTAAAGTAACGCATGGGCGCATATTTTTGTTGCAGGAGGTGTTGTCGATACGGGCTGTGCTGATATGGTGTTTTTTTGTACATTCAAGATGGATGTTCGTGCAACATATATGTTAGGAAAACATACACCAGGGGGTGCTGTAAGTTTGGTTTCGGGAGGGGGATAAACGGTTATCGGTGTGAAGAACGGAGAATTGACTATATGAGTTGCAAGCTACGCAGTGCATTCTGGGTGGCGCAATCAGTTATGACGAACTGGAAGGCGTCAGCTCCGCTAATCGTGCAAGCATCCTACCCGCGGTGGCTATAACGACAACGGCGACGACATCGACGAACACGATTCTACCGCCAGTGGTGATGATGACGACGACGGTGCTGATGGTGACGATGCCGATGGCGATTGCGATGGCAATGATGACGCTCCAAATAATGATATCGGTGGTGCCGATGATGATAATGATGAATTGCGCGCGCGGCCAAAATCCCATCATTTAATGTTAGCCGTTTCTTATTGCACGTCAGTTGGTCTCGTATGTGTGTGTGTGTGCAGCTGTGTTGACATGGTTGTACTCAACAACCGTTTTGAAAATAGTTTCGACGCGCGCGCGGAGATGCGCGCGTGACGCCCGCATTATTCGTACTTGTTGAGTATGTTCGACATGCGCGCGTGTGGCCCGCATGGTTTCGTTTGACAGAATGGCCAATCACCGACGGTTTTCTCATGATTGCAGCGGGTGCACGCTCAGAAACAAAACAGCTCGTAGTTGAAACACCCGAGAGCTTTTGCTAGTTGTTGAGCAGCGATGCTTTGAACTGGTATCAAGATTGTTTCCGAACGACTTTGACATGCGCGCGCGGGCGGGCGCACCTGTACACCGCATGGTAGTTTGTTGCAAGAGACGGCCGGGGGGGTGGTCGGGTCTCCTCCGGCTCGGCTGGGATGATATTGTTGGAAAGGCCGCACGGCCGGTTCCGCCGACCCTGAAGTGGGATCATGAGGCCCTGGGAAGGCCGCGAAGGAGCCGCGAAGCGCACGACGGCAGGTCGACGAGTATCCCAGAGCGGCTCCAGCAGCACTTCGAGACTGGAGAAGCGACAGAGCACCGGGCCACCCCCGCCTGCTGCGCCGTCGGCCCATCTCGCCTCCGTGCCCGGGTCGTGGGCCAGGGGCCGCTCGCATGCCTACTCCAGATTTCGTAATAAAGGGAGGGGGGTCTCATTTCGGGGGGGGTCTCTTCCAGGCTATCTTGGAGGGCCTGGGGGCTCTGGGGACGATGGCTTGTCTTGGAGGGTCCAGACCCCCTCCCTTTTATTGAATCGCTTCGCTCATTCCGCCGGCCCGTGATATGGCATCGCTGGTTTTTGTCTGTGTGTTCGTTGCCCATGTTGCGCTCTTGGGGGCGGGTGTCGTTCGGACGCGTTGCGTGGGGAGTTTTGATGGTGAAGCAGTTCCCTGGGGGTCGTCTCTCGATGGGGCGAAATAGAGTCGTCGTCAAGATGCTTCTTTGGGGGGCCTCTTGGGGTCTGTTGAGAGGCCGTTCGGGGGCGCCTGGGAGACATGTTTGAAGCCTTCTGGGGCTTCTTTTGGGCCTCCTGGGAGTCTCCTGGGGCCTCTTGGCGACATCTTGGGGCCTCTTGGAGGCCTCTTGGGGCCTCTTTGGGACCTCCTGGGCGCCTTCTGGGACGGAGGGCTCCATTTTTGAGTTCTCGGTATCCCTCCTGAGTCCCTCTTGGGCCCGTCTTGGGGCCTCTTGGTCCGTCTTGGGCGGCACTTGGGCCGTCTTGAGGGCTCTCTTGGGTCGTTTCGGCGCCGTCTTGGGAGCTTCGTGGGCCGTCTTGGAGCGGTCTTGGGGGCCTCTTGGGCCGTCTTGGAGCGTCCGGAAGCCGAAAAAGCCAGAACACAAAAAACATCGAAAAAACAAATGAAAATCAACGATTTTGGCCTCTTGGGGCTCTCTTCGGAGGCCTCTTGGAAGGCTCTTGGGGCGTCTTGGAGGCCTCTTGGGCTGTCTTGGGGGCCTTTTGGGCCGTCTTGGGGTCATCTTCGGCGTCTTCGAGCGCTCTTTGGGCGTCTCGGGGGCCTCTTGGGCAGTCTTGGGGGCCTCTTGGGGCACTCTGAGCGCGCTCTGGGGAGCCTGAGAGGCCGCACCCAGAAGGAAAACCATCTCTGAGTAGACTTGGTCGGGCGGCGGTCGGGCGGCGGTCGGGCGGGGTCGGCGGCGGTCGGGCGTTGGTCGGGGTACTTTTCGCCGGGGGACCCCCAGGGGCCGCCCCGCGCGCGCGAACTAGAAATACTGTTAATACTGTTAACCAGTTACCGGAGATCGGTCTCATTTCGGGGGGGGTCTCTTCCAGGCTATCTTGGAGGGCCTGGGGGCTCTGGGGACGATGGCTTGTCTTGGAGGGTCCAGACCCCCTCCCTTTTATTACGAAATCTGGAGTAGAAGGGTTTCTCTTGGGCTGCCTCTCGGAGGCCTCGAAAGGCCCTCAGGGGCCTCTTGGGGGCCTCCTGGGGTGCACTCGGGGGCATCTTGGGGGCATGTGGGGTGCCTTCGAGAGCACCCCTTCGCCACTGCATGTTCGGCCCATCCCCGGCCGTTCTCGCTAGCCGTTCTCGTCGACCGGCCTCAGCTCGGGCGCCCAAGGTCCGTGTGCATCCTCACCGCGCACCTTTGCGATCCTGTTGCTCCGTGCGTCCCCCCCCCCCCCCCTTTGGGAGGGCGGCAGCGCCCCGGCTCTGGGGGGCAACGACAGGGGGGACTGGCCAAGGGAGGGGCAGCATCGACCCCCATCATCGCAGGTCGGGGCTTGGGCCCCCTCTTCCCGCCCAGGAGGGCGCAGCTTCGCCATCGAGGGCACGTCGCCTATCCCTCGGCCGTGAACCGCCGCTTCCAAGGCAATGGCCCCCCCCCCCCCGAGCCAGCCCTTCCTTCCTCCCCGTCCTTCCCGCCAGGAGAGGGCGGACGCCGCGCCCTGCTCCAGAGGGGCGGCGATCGCCCCCGCATGCCCCTTGAGGCTCCCAGGGGCCCAACGTCCAAAGGCCTCGCTCGTTTATCCTCGGGTGCCCACTTCGACCCGATCGATCCGATTCGACACCGTTCGCTCGATCCGCTTCGGCTCCAGTGTTCTGACGGTCCGAGGCGGCCCACCGCTTGCGTGGCGCCGTCGCGCCTCCTGGCGCCGCCGATCCGAGCTGCTCTCGACCCCGTGCCGATGCAGGCCGATCCGACGACGCTTCCGACCCGATGCGACTTCGGGTGCGACGCCTGGCCAGATCTCCGACGTCATGACTTTTTCATGACGTCGACCCCCCGAGGTCTCGACCCACTCCCCGGGACCGGTTCTTCGTCCCGAGCCGTTTTTGGACGGTCCCGAGGGCCGCTAAGGGGCCCCCAGAGGCCCAAAACGGCGAAAAGCCTCCCGTCGTGATTCTTCTCCTAACTCGAGGGGGGCTGGGTGGCTCAGGTTTCTCCGCGGCCTGCCAGGTCGGCCTCCCCCGCCCTCCCCCCGCAAGGCAGACGCGCGGAGAGCGGCCATGGCCAAGGGCCCTCGCCCTGCCGACGGCGGCACGGAGCTCCACGAGCTGCGGGAGGTCGCCCAGGCCCCCGGGGCCGGGTCCTCCGAGATGAGCACCAGTCGGGGGCGGCAGAGCGGGGGGGGAGGACTAGCCCAGACCCCCTCGAGTTATGAAACAATCACGACGGGAGGTTTTTCCTCATTTTTGGCCTCTGGGGGCCCTCACCGGCCCTCGGGAGCGTCAAAAAACGACTCAGGACGAAAAACCGGTCCCGGGGAATGGGTCGAGCCCTCGGGGGGTCGACGTCATGAAAAAATCATGACGTCGGGGGTCTGGGAGGGGGGGTGGATATCATTGCGTGGGCCATGATGTTCCCTCAGATTTCAATGGCGCCTCTTCTCATTTCATCACGTTCCTGCCCCCCCCCCCTGGGCCGCGCACATGCCGCCGGCCCATGATTTGCGCCCCCCCCCCTCTCGGACGCCCCCCTCTTGGCCGCCCCCGAACCATCCTGGAGCACATCTTCGACTTCCAGCAGTGCGACGGGTACAAGTCGGAGGGCCTGGGCGCCGTGTTGCGGCCCAGCAACGTGCCCGAAGAGAGCGACGCCGCAGTGTGTGCCGCCATCAACGGCCGGCACCGGGCCTGCCCCCGAGGCTTCTTCACAGGAACGCTCGTGCGCCCAGGGAGCATCGGCCTCGTGCTCCACAACGGCAGGGTCGAGGCCGTCCCAGAGGGCCGCTACACTCTGGGCCTGCACCGCGCGAGCTGGATATCAGGAGGGGAAAAAACACACAGACACAATTCATCGTCCACTCCCAGGAAAACATAGGAAAACATGGGAAGTGGGGGGGAAGACAAAACATTCAAAACATAGGGGAAAGTATGGGGAATACTTGTATTTGTGTGTATTCATCTGTGTGTCCTGGGGCCCCTCTCAGGATAGGCATCTTCTCGCTCAACGAGCGGATCCAGAAGGAGTCCCTGACGGTCGTGCGGGTCCCGCGCGGCCAGGTCGGCCTCGCGTGGGAGAGGAAGAACGCGATCCTCCTGGGCGAGGGCCTGCACGCGTACAACGACGTGGCCTTCTCCTTCGAGGGGCTGGTGGACATCAGCGAGGTGCACATCAAGCACGGGCCGCTGAACAGCGCATCCTCCTCCTCCTCCTCCTCCTCCTCCTCCTCCTCCTCCTCCTCCTCCTCCTCCTCCTTCCCTCCTCTGTGCCAGTCCCGCTGCGCCCTGTTCTGACGGGGCTCGAAGACGCCACGAGGAAAAAACAAGAGGTGCACATCAAGCACGGGCCGCTGAACATCCTCCGGGTGAAGAAGGGCGAGTACGCCAAGGTCCAGGAGGGGAAAAAACACACAGACACAATTAATTTGCGATTCCCAGAAAATATGGGAAAATATGGGAAGTGGGGGGGAAGACAAAAACCCAGAAAATATGGGAAAATATGGGGAATCATTTTATTTGTGTGTATTTATTTGTGTGTCCCAGTTTCCCTTCAAAGGTCTGGTTCTCGGGCTCCGGCGGGGGCCTGGAGCCGAAGCTGCTCCGGGAGGGCTGCCACGTGGTCGACTCGAGCCTCTTCTCCTTCGTCGGCCGCTCCCAGGTGGAGGAGATGCACGTGAGCCACGGCGCGCTGCACATCCTTCAGGAGGGGGACAAAAACACACAGACACAAGTAATCCTCGCTGTCCAAGAAAATATGGGAAAAAATATGGGAAGTGGGCGGGAAGGCAAAAACCCAGAACATATGGTAAAATAGGGGGAATCTTTTTATTTGTGTGTATTTGTGTGTCCTGGGGCCCCTTCAATCCTGCAGGTGCCGAAGGGCCACGTCGCCAAGGTCGAGAGGGACAACGTCCCCGAGCTCCTGGGCGAGGGGACGCACTACCTGGAGAGCACGAACTTCCAGTACGCTGGCACCGCCAGCCTCAGCGACAGCGTGATCAAGCACGGGACCATCACCGTGGTCCGGGTGAACCGCGGACAGGTCGGCCTCGCCTGGCAGGACAACATGCCGCTGTTCCTCGAGGAGCCAGGCCCAGGAGGGAAAAACACACACACACAGACACAATTAATCGTCGTTTCCCAGGGACATATGGAACATATGGACAATGGGGGGAAGACAAAAACCCAGAAAACATGCGAAAATATGGGGAATCCTTTTATTTGTGTGTATTTATCTTTGTGTCTCAGGGCCCCTTCACAGGCGTCCACAGCTTCGACACCCCCACCTTCAGCTTCGTCAAGCACGCCTCCGTCGCCGACAAGACCATCGAGCTGGGCACCAAGAAGATCGTCACGGTGAACTCGGGCGAGGTCGCGATCTCCTACGACAGCGGCGAGCTGCGCATCCTGCACCCGGGGCGGCACGTGATCGACGATGCCGCGCACAGGGTGGACGGCTTCCTGCCGATCCTCCAGAAGAGCGTGCGCCTCATCTCGGCGGAGGCGGGACCCCCGAGGAAAGGGGCGGAAGGCTCGGACCTTCTCATCTGCGAGACCAAGGACCTCGTCAAGGTGGGCGTGCGGTCCGACGTCTTCTACTCCATCGCCGACCCCGAGAAGACCATCCGGCGCGTCGCGAAGGAGGACATCAACACGCTCGTGCTCGAGACGGCGATCGCGACGCTGACAAACATCATCCGCTCGACCACCCTGAACGAGATCGCGCAGAGCAAGCACCCCTCGGCGATCTCGACCAGCGGCGAGCAGGTCCAGAGCGCCCAGGCGCTGGGGGAGCAAGCCTCGGCGCCACTCTTCTTCGACAAGGCCCACGATGAGTTCCTCAGCAAGCTGCATGACGACTTCATGTCTCGGTACGGCATCGACGTCACCAACATCCGCATCGAGTCCTTCAAGATCATGGACACGGAGCTGGCGGGCAACATCTCGAAGCAGGCCCTGACCACCGCGCAGACCGAGAGCCAGCTGGCCAACCTCGCGGGCCAGACGGAGATCGCCACGCAGGAGCAGGAGCGCGACGCCAACGTGCGCCAGATCAGGGCCAAGGCGGAGGCCACGGCCCTGCGGACGCAGGCCGAGGCCCAGAACGCGGCGCTCATCAGCAAGTCCGAGGCCGGGGCGCGCGCGGATCAGATCCAGCGGGAGACCATGGCGACGGCGGAGGCGGCGGCCCTCGTCGCGCAGGCCAGGGCCGAGGCCGAGGCCATCAGCATCCGGGCCAAGGCGGAGGCCGAGGCGATCGAGCTCAAGGCGGAGGCCGAGGCCAAGCGCGCGAAGCTGCTGGGGGCCACGCCGCTGGGCGCCCAGCTCTCCCTGCTCGGCGTCTACGGGGAGATGGCGGCGAAGAGCAACGCGGGCGTGCAGAAGGTCGTGTACAGCGACCTCCAGGCCAACAACGTCGGGCTCCTCAGCATGCCGTCGCTCGCCATGCTGTCGAAGGACCTGGAGGGCCTGAGCGCCCTCGGGGGCGCTGGCTCCTGAGGCGGGCCACGGTGGCGCGGCCATGGTGGCGCGCTCGCTTCGGCGCGCCGCCGCCGGTCCCGTCCAGGGCGGGCTCCCTCGAGCGGTGGAAGGGCCAGCGCCCGACCGCGGGGAGGCCTCTGGGGTGAGGGCCCCTGGGCTTTGGCGGGCCCCTCCTGTGCACGGTGGAGGTAGGACCCGATGGGTCCTGTCAATAATATGTCAATATGCTGTTTGCCCTCTTTTTGGGGTCCGCTTGGCGCGCGGACTTTGCATTTGCAGGGCGTTCCGTGCGTCAGCGTAATTTTGTGGGATGCCGCTGACAGGTACCCATCTCATGTTCAGCGGCGCGTCCTCAGTTCTCCCAGAGACGCTGTGGACGCCCGCGTTTGAAAGAGCGCTCCGTCGAGAGGCGCCGCGGCGGGTCAAGGCGAGCCCGCATCGCGCCTGAACAGCGATTGCGACACAGTGCATCGCGGCGCTGGTACGTGATTAAAAAAAACCGATTTACAGGTGCGATGTTGACTCGTCCCCCGGCAGGCACATGGGCTCTCCCGGAGGGCCTCTCCCTCGCCGCTCTGTGGGCTTCGGAGCCTCTGGGGGCCAGCGGAGGGGGAGGGACAAGCTAGGTGCGCTCGCGTCATATCTGACGTCCTACCCCTCCCTCCCATCCCTTACCATGGCGCTGATTTTCTCTATCCGCGGACGCGTGTCGTAGCGGACCTGTGGCTCCGCGCGCGCGTGCGTAGTGGGTGGTGGTGCACGTGCGTGCGTGCGTGCGTGTGTGCGTGGTTGTCGGTGGTGGTGGTGGTGGTGGTGGTGGTGGTGGTGGTGGTGGTGGTGGTGGTGGTGGTGGTGGTGGTGGTGGTGGTGGTGATGGTGGTGGTGGTGGTGCTGGTGGTGGTGGTGGTGCTGGTGGTGGTGGTGTTGGTACTGGTGCTGGTGCTGGTGGTGGTTGTGGTGGTGGTGGTGGTGGTGGTGGTGGTGGTGGTGGTGGTGGTGGTGGTGGTGCGGTGCGGCGCGGTGGTGGCGGGCGGATGGGCGCGCGAGAAAAAGGCCCGCGCTGGGGCGAGAACGCCATCCTGAACGACGGAGGCCAAACACCGATCCGAAAATGAGGCCCACGCTGCAGCGGGAGCACGATTCGGAACGATTCGGGAGCAGAAATGAGGCCGGCGCCTCAACGAGAGCAGCATTTTGGGAAAAAATGACGCCGGCGCCTCAGCGAGAGTCGTTTCCCGGGATTTCCCGGGCATCCTGTGTGTAAAAAAAGTACGCGGAGGGTGCGCGGCCATCACCCGGACGCCATCAGGGGAAGAGGGAGAGTATATTCATATTGAGTAATTGTGGAGGAGGAGGAGGAGGAGGAGGAGGAGGCGGAGGAGGGGAGGAGGAGGGGCGAGGAGGAGGAGGAGGAGGAGGAGGAGGACTGAGGACTGAGGAGTTGCCCCTTGGAGCCCAAGCCTCGACCCGCGAGCCCCTTCTCCCCTCCCCTCGGCGGGAGCGCGCGGCCGCGCCCCAGCCGCCGTGCCCGAGGCCGCGGCGGCGGCCGACGCGGCGATCGCCGCCGACGCGGCGATGGCCGCCGAGGCTGGCCAGCGCTTCGGTCGCCTCCCGCAAGGGGGAGCCTCCTCGGAGCCCTCTCCCGCGGGGGAGGCCGAGGGCGGCGGCGGGGGGCGAGGGCGAGGGGGGCGAGGGCGCGGGAAGCGAGGGCGAGGGAGGAGAGGGCTGGGGCGAGGCAGGCGGAGGAGGAGGAGGAGGAGGGCCAGGGCAAGCCCAGGGCGCACTCAACGATGCTGCAGCATGTTGCAGCAAGCCCTCCCTCCGAGTTCCCTCCTCGCAGGTCCCTGCAAGAACCTGTCTTCACTGCTGGAAGTGCCCCATTGGAAGACAACCGTCTGAGAATCTTCAACCGTTCCAAAACACCACTCCTTGGACTTAAACGCCGCGAATCAACTTTACTGTTGCGTCCTGACGGTCCTGCATCGAGCTGGAACGCAATTCCTGGGACATCAACTGCAAGAACCCGTTAAATTGCTGTAAGTTTCTAAGACGAGTGTTCGCGGTGCCAGGGCGAGAGCTGCATTTTGAACAATTATCGTCCTCCATCCGTGAAGCGTTTGCAAACTTTCAAGACGAATGTGCGCGTCGCTGAGGCGGTAACCATATTTTGAAAACCACCCGCCCTCCATCCAGGAAGCTCGTTGGAACTGTTCTGGCGATTGTGCGCGTCGCTAAGACGAGAGCCACATTTTGAAAAGGAGCCGCCTTACATCCGTGAATCGTGTGCGCACTTTTCAAGCGCATGTGCGCGGCGCTAAGACCAGAGCCACATTTTGAAAGCGACACGCCCTCCATCCGTGAAGCGATTGCACACTTTCAAGACGAAAGTGTGCGGCGCTGAAGCGAGAACGACATTATGAAAACGGCCCGAACTCCATCCAGGAAGCTCTCGCAAATTCCGAAGGCGAATATATGCGGCGCTTACGCGAGGTCTTTATTTTGAAAGCGGCCCGCCCTCCGTCTGGGAAGCTGGTTGCACATGTTTACAGTACCACGAATGTGCGTGGCGCTACCGCCAGAGCCACACTCCGTAAACCACCCATTCATTACCCGGGCAACAGCTGCAAGATTTCATGACGAATGAACGCGGCGGTAAGGCGAGAACCACATTTTGAACATCACCCGCCCTCCATCCGTGAAGCGGTTGCAAGCTTTCAAGACGAATGTGCGCGTCGCTGAGGCGGGCGCCACATTCTGAAAGCCACCCGCCCTCCATCAGGAAAGCTCTTTTGAACTGTTCTGACGATTACGCTCGTTGCTAAGGCGAGAGCCACATTTTGAAAAGGAGCCGCCCTCCATCCGCGTGCACACTTTTAGGACGAATGCGCGCGGCGCTATGGCGACAGCCACATTTTGGAAGCGGCCCGCCTTCCATCCGTGAAACGGCTTCAAACTGGTAAGACAAATGTGCACGGCGCTGCATCGAGAGCGACACTACGAAAACGGCCCGCACTCCATCCGGAAAGCTCTTGCAAACTTTCACAACGAATGTGCGTGGCGCTTAAGCGAGAGCTCCATTTTGAAGGCGACGCGCCTTCCATCTGGGAAACTGTTTGCATATCTTTTAGACGAATGTGCGTGGCGCTACGGCCAGAGCCACACTTTGCAAACCAGTTCGATACCCGGGAAACAGTTGCAAACTTTTGAGACGAATGTGTGGCGCTACGGCCAGGGTCACAATTTGTAAACCAACCGTTCTTGACCCGGGCAACAGTTGCAGATTTTAAGACGAGTGATCGCGGCGGTAAGGCGAGCGCCACATTTTGAGAACCACCCACCCTCCATCCGTGAAGCGGTTGCAAGTTTTTCAGACGCATGTGCGCGTCGCTAAGGCGAGAGGCACATTTGGGAAACAACCCGCCCTCCATCCGTGACGCGGTTGCGTACGTTAGAGACGAATGTGCGCGGCGCGAAGACGAGATCCACAATTCGAAAACAGCCTGCCCTCCATCCAGGAAGCTCCTGCGCATTTTGGAGACGAATGTGCGCGGCGCTTGCGTAAGCGAGAGCTCCATTTTGAAAGCGACCCCCCTCCATCTGGTGAGTGCTCGCACATTCTTCAGACAGGTGTGCGTGGCGCTATGGCGAGGGCCACGCTTTGTAAACCGCTTGTGAACCACCCGCTCTCCACCCGGGAAACGGTTGCAAACTTTCAAGACGAATGCGCGCGGCGCCGAGGCGAGCTTCTTTTTGAAAGAGGCCCGCCCTCCATCCGTGAATCCACTCGCCAACTCAAGACGAAGGAACGCGGCGGTTAGGCGAAAGCCACAGTTTGAAGACCACCTGCCCTCCATCCGCGAGACGGCTGCAAACGGGGAGGGGGAGGGGGAGGGGGAGGGGAAGGGGGAGGGGGAGGAGGAGGAGGAGGAGGAGGAGGAGGATTCGCCTTCGTCTTCCTGTTCGTGCTTTTCACTCGCTTCTCCCTCTTGATCCTCACCCTGCTGGAGGCGTCATCACTCTCGTTCCTGACTTCAAGACGGCTGGAGCTGAGCACCCGTCGCTGGTTAGGGACATTCCTCTAGTTCGAGGGCGGGCTCTGAATGTTCGGTTGGAGTTTAGCAATGGGGCTAGGATCTACCACTATAACATTCACAATTTTGGGCTCTCTAGTGGGCAACGGGACTCGATCATAGAGACTATCTCCAGGGACCTCGAGGCAGCTCTTGAGGACCCAGAGAAGATCTTGGTCATCGTAGGTGGCGACTTCAATATTTCGTCAGCGCCCCCGATAGCTGCTAACAAGGACTCCCCCATAACGATCACCCAGGGCCAGGACTGGAGGCGCTCGCAGTGCCGAGCCTGGAATCGGCTTTTCGGGAAGATGACGGAAATCGAACTGAATGAACCGACTCATTTCAATGCAGCTCGGGGCACGCTGAGTAGTATTGATAGGCTCTTCGTCTCGTCTCCAGGCTGGTGTCTGACCCAATCATGCACGGGAGGTAGGACGCACGGGCAACCCGAGACCCTCAATGACACCCGCATCTCAACTCACGTGGGGATCTCGTTCACGCTGTCTCAGAGGTCAGCTACCAAGCCCGAGGAGCGTGCGATCCCGAATGGGATTTTTCGACGGCCTGAGTACCAGACCAACCTGTCCAAGATTATGGCGCAAGTGGACACCTCGCAGCTCTCTCCCCCACTCCTTCTCGACTGCCACAAGACGATGATGCGTGAAGCTGCCCGAGCGACGCGCGACGCGATCATCCGACACAAACCTCATGACCCACTATCTCGTCTGATTATTTTGAGAACGATTTCGAGAGCAATTTGGCAGCAAAATGTCCCTCTTGCCCGTCGTGTGATAGGCACGCACCCGCTTGGCGCCAAGTTTATCCAGATCAGTGTTGACTGTACCCGGGTGGAGCTCTTGGACCCTCCGGCCTTCCAGTTGGCAACCGAGCAGGAGCACGGCCGCCTGTTCGAGTCTGCCAAAGAGTTTGCGAGCAAGCGCTTGC